TGGGAAATCATTCGTTCTTTGAATCACTTCAGCAATAATAAATTACTTGGTTGACAGGTTTGTCATGGTACGAATATGAGTAATATTATAATAAGCTTACTTTAAGCTTACATTAAAATAACATTGTTTTTGGAAAGGTTATGGTAGGCCCCCAGGAAAGGAATGGTATTTCGTGCAGGAGGCTCAAAAATTTGGGCTTATATTTTATTAATTTTTTTACACACACATTCATAGCCCCGCACTAGGGAAACCCTGTATCGCAGGTGCCGAAGACACGCACATAGACAACCACAATTTACACCCAAAATCACGGAAGAAATAAATGTAGGCCATACAAATATTTCTCCCGACCAGGAATCGAACCCGAGACCTTTGCATGGCAGACATATAAAATAATATCATAGGTTCACGTTTAATTATAAAGTGAAAGTGTTGATTTAATAATCCTTACACGCTCCCGAACACGTAATTCGACTTTTATAAATACTCGTATCGTTTAGTAAACCAGTTTCAAAATTGCATAATAGTTTTTTATCAATCAAACATTGTTTAAGCTTAGCGCATTAAATACTGAAAACGCAAGGTGGCTTATTCCTTTTTTCGGTGGCAGATGAACAGCAGAATTTGTACAATCAACCGGGCAATCGAATCATGTGTCCGGGAATGTATATTAAAAAAACTTACAATAGGTTAGTTCATGTTTTAATGTTACAACACATGTTGTGGCTATTATTTGTTTATCCATAAGAGACATAAGAGATAGAATATAATGATCTAAGTGCAGGAAGAATTATGTGCTTCGAATATTAAAATTACTAAATCCACAATATTATAATAGTTATTCATAACATCAAACATTATGTACCTGTAGATACAAGTAAATGTATTAATATCTAATAAATACTTACTTCACCATTAATATTTCATTTTATAAATCGGCTTTTAAAACTACTCGAGCCTAAACTATAAGTACTCAGGTGCTTAAATCAACGCTTAGGCATGTTATTTACAAAGCTAAAAAGGATGTATTATGGTACATTAATTTAAATTAAAAACTACTTTTGACTCTTAACTTTCGTCTTTATTATAATAATATTAAGAACTGATCATTCTGTTCGCTTGTATTGTAGAGTAATCAAATGTTAGCGTGATGTGACTAGAAATAGCTACATACTACGAAATGCATTACAAATTTATATACAAATTGTTCTAGTTTTCACACTTTAATCATAATTATATGCATTTTCGTGTTGCCTTACTTGTGTTTGAAGGATCTCGTGCCGTCCCGTCCTGTCTGTGGGCGCCGGGCCTTAATCGTTTTGTTTATGACTAAAATAAGTGCACATTTGACCTCCATCTGAACTAATATAAAGTGAAGTCGATGATGGAACATGCACATCTATATATGATTCCTAATCAATCTCGTCTTGTAAAAGCCCAAGGCATAGACAGCGTTCAGGGAACAAATCTGCAGGCAGGAATTCCGTTCCGCGTGACCGATGGCCATATAAATGTGAAAGTCTAACGCTTCCTGCAAATCTTAGATATATATCCACAATAATGGAACTCTAGCCTACGTCGAATCCCCCGATGGTAGAAAAAGGATAGCAAAATGATTCCATGATTAGTATAAAACATATTATTAGTAAATGTTTAGTAACAATATGCCTCTAAATTTTTATTTTTGCGCTAGGCGCTACGACTAAAAACTCGTTAAAAACCAAATACAAAGATACGACGCAAGCACATAGAAAAATTCGTGAGATCCGCTGGTTCGTTCAGTGGCTTAGTTGGTATCGCGTCTGACACGGTATGCTAGAAGACGTCGGTTCGAATCCGGCCGGATCGAATGAATTTTTTCTGAGTGTTCGATCTTTGTATTAATAATTATAACAAAATCTCTCGTTTAGGAAAACGAGTAGAACAACATTGTGATGTAACCTTTGAAAAATGTGTGAAGTCTCCGACCTGGATTGAGCCATCGGGGCGGATTATATATAGCCTAAACCCATTCCTTAAGGCGAGTCACCGGAGGAGAAGCAAAAAAATCTGTTTTGCTATATCAAATGTAAATCATTTGATATAACAAAACAGATTTTTTTGCTTATTTTTTTTATTTTTGCTGGTATTTACTACTGAGTAACGGTCTTACAAAAAATATGCGATACACCGAAGGACATTATCTAAAGAATGTGCTAATTTGTTCCAGGATATATTGTACTTCACCCGATCATATAAAATCCAGAAAACAGATTAAAGTCTAAAACGAATTATTTAAGAATAAAAAGTCTAACTTTGCACATATTTTTTATATGGACATATTTTTCTTTAAGTACTACAGCCGTCTGTCGCCATCAGTCCTTATCGATGTTGGATCTGTATCAAATTTTCTCCTCATGTATTTTATCCATTGACTTACAATTATATGGACGTCGGGTCCGCGCTAGAAAGTGTCCGAACTTATAGGGCGTTAAAATCGTATACAGAGCGTCATTCACGCTTTAGTCTTCGTTTGTTCCTTCTGACAGCGAAGCAAGCAAAATTAGACAGTACTGCAATGACATTACAATTTAAATTCAACGTTTAAGCTTTTTCATATTCCTTTATACGTCACTACGTTTAAATAGGTTGACTTGGGACATTCTTTTCGTGGTTTTTGTATTAGACCCGTCGTCCATTTATTTGTAAGTCAATGATTTTATCCATATTAATTTTCCGCGCGAGTTGCATGACGCGAGAGGCGGTCCCCCGCACCTCACCTCCTAAAAAGTAGGCTCTCCATGAAATACCTCGCCTTAAAAAGACCCGTTCCCAGCAGCAAAACGTATAATGGATTTATTATGATGAGCATATGTACGTTTCAGTGTATACTTAAATAAGTGTAAAACTATAAACTATTATATAGTTTGTACTATATATAGCTAATTGAAACTAGTATATAGTGCCTTGTGGTGATATTGGATATAACAACTAACTAAATAAGTTTAAAATTAAGTACTCCAAACACGTTGAACGAACTTACAATTAAGTTGAGAAACATATTATCTGACGCCCCTGTTATACCAAGTATAATTGCCATAAATACAGTAAACTCATGCACTCCTGGGAAACTCCACTTTCATGTTTATAACTAACTTGTATTACGCGATAATCTACGTTATCTTCACTTAATGGAACTCAGTAAACTTCCTTAATTGAGTCATCCAGACCCCGCATCCTTTCTTTAAAACGCAGATCTGCGGGTATTGTCAAGTTGTATCGTACCTACTTGATTGATGCAGAAAGGGCAACCACTTTCTGTTTTTTTGGTCTGTTAAACGACACGATTACATCATTGATCTTAATAATAACCTACTGTACATATGAGAAAATAGCAAAATGCTGACGTATACAAGATAAAAAGGAAATTTTTTGAATGATTATTACTAGAATACAACTGGAGCTTCAATTGATATACAATTATAAAATTATTATCAATCTGTAGATTGCTGATTTATAGATTGTATTGCACTCTCGATAATAAAATGAGAAATTCCAGAATTATTTTTTAATAAACTGACAAAATAGGAAATGAAACCATTAATTGCGAATATTTATTTTATCGAACAGACCAACGTTCTCCTTACAGGACCCATGGTAATGAGTGATGAATGGTATTGGTTATGTATATTAATAGACACCAGCGTATTCTGAACTCATAGTTATAAAAATATTGGTTTACCTACTACACGGGCTGTCTTTACAATAGAAATTGTAGAACAGTCAGAAAAAATCGACTTCTCTGAACAGAGGTTAAGACCTGCCCTTGTCGTCTTTTTACCAAAGAAAGACGGTCTAATTTTGAATCTCAGTCAGTGTAGTCAGTCAGTCGGCTGGTCAAACGCAGAGCCTGGACAAGACAACGACCTTACTTTATTTTATCAAAGAACTTATTCCACTTAATACTAAACACAATTTGTAAATCACTTAGAAAATCAAATTTAAAAAATAAAAGGAAATTATAAAAATTAAATTAAATATTAACGAGCAATACTGTAGTCTCATGTCTGCTTGGGATTTTTTATTGGAGGAAATACTGAATCCCAAGCTGGTGATATAGAGAAATCATCTCCCTGTCAAATTACGATTTTTTTTTTAATTTCAATGATGAATTACAGAATACATAAAAAAGAATTTCCAAATTCGTCGCTTTAATATACAGTCGTGCGTAATTTCATCCTTATTCTATACCAATTAATCTCCAAGATGGTAATAAAATTTTCCGCAAAAACTTAACGCTAAAACTCTTCCCAAAACAACAATTTTTATTAAAGTGCCTGTGATAAATCAGGGAAGAAGTGAACAAATCCAATTCCACAATGTAATTCATCTTGTAAGCCAGAACACGAATGTCCGCAGTTAAATAAAGTATGTTTGTCTCGTTTACATAAGAATTTGAAGTTATTTCCCCTTTCCGAATGGTATGCAAGATCAAACGCCGTATTTGGCAATACCAAAAACGGTAGGTATTTTTCGTTACTTCGAAATATTGTTAAAGTTATCATTTACGTAATCTTTGAACGTTTGAAAACCCAAACAGGGGAAAATAGCCAACAAAAGATAAATGTCTACACAATGATGAACAGGAAATTTGTATGCAAAGTGCGGCTTGCTAGACGCCATGATAAATGTAGCCACCTTCACGGCTGTCAAAGAACTAAATAGATTTCGTGGTACATATTTACATTGTATTAAATTTCACTATCGTTTAACCACATTTACAAAGCAGCTTGGTCTTCCAGAAAATCCTATAGATATAACTAGATTAATTCAGAAACTTCATACTATTATTTACTAACTTTATAAAAGTTAGAACTGATCTAAACATAGCTCGAATACGAGTTTAGGTAGAACACCTAAGAGAAATTACTCAATTTACATCATCAAATCATTGAGTGGCATTGCAGTTTACTTAGATTGCTTAGTACTTACACATTAGCATACACTGTAAAAGTTTATTTGATATTCACAGATACACTACCGAAGTAGCAGGTACTCGGGAATGCTACGTATTTGCAGATGTGAGAGGTTGAGCGTCTCCACGCGTTGGAAATGGCAGAACCTTACGAGCCAGCCTGGTAAACGTGGAGCGGAACTGGCGGGACATACTGCAGTACAACACGAAGTTTACTGCTGATCCCACCAAGGCCATCAGATCCATCACTTCACCTGCAAGAACGATCACATATTAGGTCTATACTTTATCGGTCTTTTTCATTAGATGGGTACATTACAAAGTTTTAATTATATTTTCAGATCGTAAAGCGCATTATCTACTTAAACGAGAAGGAGAAAATCTGTGACTCAAGTGAAAAGTCAAAAAACCCAACTTTACAGGAGACGCGAAAAACAGATAAAGCTTAATAAAATTAAGCGTTAAGTGTTTTTCGCGTTTACTTGTATACTTGCCTTTTTTACTTTACCCCTTTTCACTAGAGCCACAGAAAAATAGTTTTCAACAACCAATACAATTAAATTGATATCTCCACGCCGCTTAGTCAAACATCAGTTTGTTAACCTTGGTTATTCATTATATTAAAAAAGTTATGACACCGTGTATGGAAAAATTTTGTAAGGGAGTTAGGTAAACAATTTCTATTCTTTACCTAACTCATACAATTACAAACAAATGAGCACGACAACAACTGACAATCAACTAACATCAATTATTATTATATTTGTTAATCATTAATAGGACCCAGTTCTCTCAATATGTATCCGCACAACTTATTGTCTGTCGCTATAAGTAACCTACTCCAGCTCCTCCTCTTTAGTAACTTAATTACGTAACTTTGTGTGCGTGTATATCGTCGTACAAGATGTAATTAAGTTCAATAGGAAACTTATTACTTAGCAACTTTCATTAATTGATATTTTTTTCCCCTAGTCTAATGAATGGTAGTATGTTAGCTGTTTGTAGCCTTGCGTAGTTTGCCATGGTGTGGTATATCGTGAATGTTTTACTGCTTATAACTGTACTAAGATTATGTGGTGGTGAATTTATCGGTTAGATTTATAGACAGAACAATAAATTGTTATTTCTTTCTAAATTTGAAATTATAACTAATCATTGTCAAGATTTCATAGTGTTTCAAATTATGAATGTGTGACGTCGCCAAAACGACTGCGAGTCTGATGGTAATCGAGGCATTTTTTCTTCCCTAGATTTATCCAACAGGCTTACAAAATGAAAAAACTTTCATTTTCTTTAATTTCAGTTCTTACAGATGGCACTACGGCAAAAAAATCGCAACAAGCACATAAAGAAATTCATAAGATCTGCTGGCTCGATCCGTAGCTCAGTTAGTAGAGTGATAACCACGTTGGGGCAACAGACACTGGTTCATTTGCCCCAATGTCCTATCGGATCGAAGGAATTTCTTCTTCGTGTTTCTTTATGCTTGTGCGATCTTTGTATCAATAATAATAACAAACTAGTGTAGTATTATAATTAATAATACAAAGGTCCAACACTTAGTAAAAAATTATTCGATCGGGCTGGATTCCAATTAACGTCTTCTAGCAAACCGTGCCAGACGCTATGCCAGCTAAGCCACGGCACAAACCAGCGGACCTTACGAATTTTTCTAGGTGCTTGTTGCAGATCTTTGTTTTGGTTTTTCAATGACTTTTTTGTCGTAGCGCCATCTGTGAGAAATCTATTTCTTCAATAAATAATGAATATCATGCTGGTAAAACGTCCTGACTTTAATAACTTTAATAAATACACTTAATTAATGCAATATTTTCGCGAAAAAATAGATGAAGATCATGGTAGTAAAACATCATTATATCCAATAAAAATAATATATTTATCCAAGTTTTTTCTCCGAACTAGAAAACAAAGTGTAATTTCATCAAATAAAAGGTAGTATTACAAGCCAGATGTACCATTATTTTTACGTTGGCAGAGAAAGTTAACCCTATTAAAGATTCCCCAGATAATCCACAACATGCCATATTTGTGGCGTACCTGTATCGTTATGTTACAAAAACAAGACTAGATTGGCTACGTGTTTTGCATTTTGCTAGCTATTAAATTGTTCCAGTGCAATGCAAATAATCGTAAAGTTAGCTCTGAATGTTGGCCAACACAAGATTTAATTTCAAGTTTGGAATTACTTTGTTTCCTGTTATTAACAAACTCCTTTAAACTCTAAATTAGATTTTTAGAAGTCACGTATTGTGAAATTACACACGTGCGGAATGAAGTTTATCCTATCGCTAAAACACATTAATGACGATCATCACGTCAAATGGTGTATTTATTACAGACAAATTTAGGTGTTAAAACTTCCAAACAAATTTTGGCGCTCACCATGTTCAGACAATCCATGTATTTGCGCAATTCACACCCTCTCACCATTTGCCCGTGCGCAATTGCTTCACGTGGCGCAGCACGTGAATGTACAAACTCATCTACGCGTTTGTGTTCATTCTGCTCAGTTTTCAAACAAGGAACATACGTCCGGGCGCATGATTAAATAGATTTTGTTTTTAAATACAAAGAGTTCACCTTAAGAACGTTTACGATTTTTTTGTAGATTTGTTTAAAAACGTATATGTTAATTTTACACGTTATACACGTTTTATTATAAAAAGTTCATTAGTTGACTAAGTAATATTATAGTAAAAGATTCCATAAAAACATTCGATTCCGGGCTACTACTTAATTGTTATAGAACATGTTACCTACTGTCATGTTAATTTGCAATTGTAATATTCATATTTTATTGACCTTGAATTGTTAGTTTAAAATTACGTAAAAGATTGTAGCTGATACCGAGAAACTATGAAGTTATTTTTGCGCGCATGGCCAATAGGAGCCATCTTTTCTCGGGAGTGTTTTAAAAGGTTAAGTGACGTGGAATGGCATTCTGTTATGATTTTCGATCAAATCGAAGAATTATTTGGACTCATAGACGTGATGATGGGTAAAATGTAAAAATTAGTAATAAACGCTTAAATAATTGGAACCTAGAGCCTAACCTAACTCAGAGCTTTAAATTTCAAATATCTGATGGGCACTGCCACCGCGCCGGTCAACATGAGGCATAAGTTGACAAGTACCATGGGCCTGTAATTTCACCAGCACCCTTACCCTGTCAAATCGAAACGCAGAAATTCTCATTTTACTGCTTGGTGGCAGAAATAGATAAGGTGCCAGTGCTTCCTTGGATGAATTCTTTTACGAGAAGCTCTACTGCTTCTATATCATTCGCTTCATTTTCAATCATATCGTTGCCTTGCTATTAAAATGTTTCAAAATCCACTTTTTCTGCTTATAATGTGCAGAAAAATTCGATACATTACCTGTCAAAACATTATATATGTCCACTGTGATTACAAAGAAATATAATAAGATAAATTTCAAAACGTAACATTTGCATATTACCAAATCGAATTCCTTCCCTCTCCTATAAAATTTTAAATAGTATAACACAAGAAGATTTTGATAGTAGATAATGCAACGATATATTATGTAGATATGTTTTGACATATTGTTTGTTCGCTTATTTTGCCAAATAACAACACCTTCACTGTAAAGCATCCTTGCTAACTTTACGTAGCAGTAGAGCTCCTTGTGAAACCGTTCATCCAGGGAAGTACTGCCACCTTACCTATTTCTGCCGCCAAGCAGTAATGTGAGCCTTACTTTAAGAGATTAACATTCTTACACTGTCGTCATAGTACACTTATGAAAATATTATTTATGTTAAGAAAAATATTAATTTTTTCACAACAAGGAATAAAAATAAACTAGCTGTTCTTGACAACCGTCTTCATAAAATCTCAAATACGTTTAAGGGACAATGTACCTATACGCTTCTATAAAAAGATTCAGATTGATATTCAAAATTTGCCATTAACGAGGTTTAAAACTATTGTGAAACAAAAACTCTGTCCTAAAAGTTATTACACAACTTCTGCGTGATGGATGACAAAAATCCGTGGTAGTGACCCGTTTAGCTCTTTCAAATGTTCTCGACCTAAGATGTTTAAATTAAATATTGTAATGATAAATGTATTCAAATGACTATTTCCAAATAGCAAACCCTAGAGTTTTTTGCTCATTCTTCTCAGGGGAATCTGCCTTGCGAATGAGCAGTAGAGTTTAATCAGCATGACGATTTCAAGTGTAATTTGCTTATCTTTGAAATAAAGATTATTTGACTTTGACTTTGACTGCCTTTCGGTTTTGCTGGGTAAGGGTCCTGGTTGCTGGCTGGGTAATTAAACGTACATGAGACTCGTCAACTTATGTCTCAGGGTGATGGTGCATTGGAAGTGCCTCTTTGCGATTTAAAGCTCTGACTACAACTGCTGTGGACAGACATGTCGTTTACAAACTGGTACACGTGTTGCTCGTACCGTCACGTAGTATTATGAAAAAATTAAAAAACCACAAATTGTATTTCATATATAGACACCTTTTATATAAAATAATTCACATAGTAATTAGATTATTGAATAAATTTATCGTTGTTACTATCTTTTGTCGTTATCAAAATATACTTATAAAGGGGATTCATTTCATAATAGGTATTTACAAGGCAATATAATACAAGATAAAACTTATTGTAAAAATTTAAATACTCCCAAATTGTTGCCAGCTTTCTGGGCACGATACCCGAGGATATTGTAATTCGTATAATTATAAATACTCGTTTAGCGGCACAAACGACAAGTTTTTCGGAATCCATTTCCATATATCTTTATACAGATTCCTCGATCGAGAAATGAAAGTCAATAGAGTGAAGCTGTGAGTGGCCTTAATTATAAACATCTATCCATTTGACTTCAGGCGATCGGAATTACGCCACATGGATGGCCACGTGATGTTCAGCTTTAATTCGTTAAAAACATTTTTCACAGGACTCGCTCTTAAAAAGGATGATGGTGACAGAGCACGAAATACAAACCCTTAATAAATTGCAATTCAATAAGCGTGAGAATTCATATATTTGTACCTTCGCTGACACCGGAATACTTTTATAAACCTTATCATTTTAAAACAAATACCGCTCTTCTCTATAACTACATAAAAAATACTCAGCAGTTTATTGTAGAAACTTTAATGCATAGGAAATGCGTTGTAATAAAGTTCCAGATAAGGACACAAATTTAATTACATTACAGCACATGCAAGTCCAAGGATAACGAATCCG